TTAGAAATCAGGCTGTTCTCTGCAGTGTGTGGGACCCCACAAATGTGGTAAAGTCGATGTGAAGGAAACGTGAAGTACATGTTGAGGAGGATGACCTGCAGCTTCTTATGACTCAGATCTCCCAGCAGACAGTGAAAGCAGCACAGTGTAGTGGAACAACCAGTTTGACTGAAATTCAAGGAACAGCAGCGCAGAGACTGGGAACTGAAAATGCAAAACAAAACATGAAATGCTTTAATGTGGATTGTGCATCGTCTCTAAGTGGAAGCTGAACATGTTCTGTGTTCCTGCCTCAGTGTTGCTACCACAGCTGACCATTAACACACACAAACAGGAGACGCTGAGTTACACCACTCTGTCCGAAAAGAGCAGCCGTTTCCTTCCCACGACTCCTCCCTCGCCCTCTCTCTGCCCCTCACCTCCTTTCATGGAGGTGAGGTATCTGACAAACCAACACCACCTGTGAGACTCCGTTGGACCCCTGCCAGTGGGCCCAGACTCCGTTTTTTTGTCCTGTTTGCATGTTACAAAATAAGAGCTATACTGTTCTGATGTGCAAAACACAGCGACACTGAAGCAACTGTTTATCAGGATATTACATGTATAACACTACATGACAGCAACAGGCCCACATCAGTTAATCACCTGGAGAGACACACCCTGCTCACAAGCCTGTAGCCAGGCTAACAGACGTGTGGACGCTGTGATGATCATTAAACACCAGAAAGAGTAAAGATACAGGTTCAGTTCAGTGTGGTCCGGTTCAGTTGGGCTAGTTCAAAGTTACTAAATAAAACCATATGATTATTCCATTATTGAAAAGTTGCAGAATATTTTTTGACTCTGACTAATCAATGAATTGTTTCAGTGCTAATGAATATTAACTATAATATATAGAGAGATATCAAAAAGTCCTATAAACCAAACACCTAGTGTGTCTTGTTTTCTTTAGAATTGAATCATAGCAGTGTTTTGTGATCTCACGGACTGGTACTGGTTCATCTCTCAAAATAAGACCGGCACTGCCTCACTATGTGCGTGTCCCACCCACCCGGTCATTTCCTTTCTACTGTGGAAAAATCCAATTTCCACACTTTTACATTACTAAACACACTCCCATTGCCAAGCACCCTCTGTGACAGTTTCACACCCGGCCTGGCTGGGTTTTCCTGACCCAGAGGTCATCGAGAGAATTTAGTACATCTGATAAAGCAGAAAAGCCTGTGAGTCCAGAAAACCAGTCTTGTGAACTCCGGTGCTCTGAGAGTCTCACAACAGCAGCCGATACAACTCATGAGCTCAGTTCAGATTCATTTCCATGCCAAACACCAACACTTGTGGTATTTGCGAGACTCAGTCAAAGATGCATCTCCCCGAAACTGTCAGCAGGCAGCTGTGCGTTACACTTTAGAGTTGGGCAAACAATTCAGACGCACACATGCAAAACCAACCACTTAGACAACAGTTTTCCTTTTGAAAAAGTAAAGCACGATGTTTGAAACGCCTCCAGTAAAACACAAATCTCACATTATGTGGCTTGTCTTAGTGTATTTGGTGTCTTCTCCTTGTTGTGGTGAGCCAAGCAGAAACCCTCAATAGTGCCCCCGGTGGTCAGGGGAAGAGGGGCATTTTTTTCAAGTCATCTTTTTACTTTAGTTTTAAATTTCATGATAAATATGGTGCTGTGGGTTTTTGGTATCGGCACTTCCCTAGTGTCTCCACACTGTCTGGTAAATCCAGTGACAGTGGGACAGGACGTGGTGTCTCTCAGTTACACGCCCCCCTCCATGACACTCTGCTGCCTACAGCCCGTCTGTTGTTATTCCAGCTTTTAATATCCTGAGTTGTCAAAGTACGGTCTGTAAATTAGCCCCGCCTGCCACATAGCCAAGGTCAGAAGTGTTCTTCAAGCCATGAGTAGTTATTTCAAACAGTCGGCCATGGACGAGGAGCTCTCGGCAGCTAAAAGTCTGAGACCGACGCTGCCAGAGCGAAGAGGCCTTAGTAGTTTTAATGTATATAAAGACATTATTATTTGGTGCGTGTCTGATGAAATGTTTCACAAACTATTTGAAAGATATTTAATATTTACGTTGGTTGATTAAAACTACAATCAGCCTATGAGGTCACGACTACCAACAGCTGGTATGGTGCAGCAGGCCGTGGTGAACGGCGGTATACACTTGGCTCTGAATACCACTTTAAAGCAACACCAGATGTGTGCCTCAAGTGTGCGTTTGCCATTTTCCTGATGTGGGGCACCGTTGTCTATGATCTGCAGGCTCGTAAACACACACTTTAAGGACAAAGCCAGTGATTTTCCATGTGTTTTTTGTTTTCCACAGATCTGATCCAGAGACTGAAACTAACAATGAATTTCATTTAGTCACCATAACATCTGCGAGCCCTGGACCTGGTTTAGCTTACAAGTCTGTGCCGTAGACCTCCATTGTTGCCAGAAAACTATTAAAGTGAGCCACACTGCTGCAGTAGGTGACAAGTCTCTCACCAAAAATGTGGAGGTCCATCTTTTGTCAAAGAACAGTTATCAGTTTTTAGAGCATCTGACGTAAGACAAGAGTCAACTGATTTCTGCCCTTTACACTACGACGCTAGCTTCAGGTGCTAGCGGAGTAGAGTAAAGGGCAGAGATCATGTGCAGTCGACTCTAAACCAGGTTCTAGATTCACATGTATTAGAGTGAGTACTGGAACAGTCCCTTAGCACCAGTTTCTGTTTTAAGTCAGATTTAAGTGACATGACTGAGTCTGAGGAGCTGTCCACATGCGTACGGAGCCATAAAAGGCCCAAAACCAGCCACACACAGTTTGTCCTGAGCTCCGAACCATCCATCACTGCACAAACAGACACACCTGGCTCTAACCACAGAAATGACAGTGTGTGTGTAAATTGTTCCATCAGCTTGTTGACGGAACAGCTGATGGAGGGCAGACCTGCGCAGACACCAATAGCTGCAGACCGAGGCTGTGCCTACAGTCGTGTTCTGACCTCTGACCCTCCTGTAGATCAGTTAACCTCTCTATCCGAGAGGAAGGGCTGCTCCAATTCAGCAAAGAATGTCTCCAACAAGAGAATATTAAAGAAACTGCAACAAAACAATGAGGATTACGGGTGGAAAGAATGGATGGAGCTTGTGGACTGGTCCTAACACCACAGAGAAGCTTGAGGTAGCATGCTCAGACTAAATGAGGGTGTGCTCAACTGCTCAAGAACTCAAAAATAAGCAAGCAAAGTGCTTGCACAAAACAGGAGCACTAATGACAGCATACAGCGTAGACTTCATTCCAAGCTATAAGCACTACAGACAATACAATTAAAGCCACACATTTAGAAACACACAGAAAAGACAGCATAATGATTTTCACCTGTGAATGAATAAAGGCAGCTTTGTATTTTCTCTTAATTCTCGGGAAAATAAGCAATGGATAACGTGTCTATCAGAATCCTAAAAGCAGTTTCCATCATCAACCCATTAAAAAAAAATTGTTTGTTGTTTGCAAAAAAATGAATCTAGAACAATTAAAAAAAACTTTGTCAAAAAGCTCATTTATTCAGCAAAATACATGTACGGTTATCTGTCAGCATTGTGCATTCAGAGTGGAAGCCAAACAACAAAACAGACTGGATATGTGCTAATTTACCTACAACAGCTACACAACAACAAGCAGCTTGTTATAAAAAGAACCATTAATATCTGATCATGGTAACTCATACAGCTGACAAGCCTTGTTAACAACATTTGGCTGTGACATTGTGAAATCTGGGGTTAAGGAGGGTGAAATATTTTCCTCTGGTGCCCAAACCGAGGAGACCTGAAGCCACAGGTGTGTGTCCTCCCCCACGTTGGAGGCAGCTCATTAAAACACACACTGGTGGTGTCACCTGTAGACGCTACACCCACTGCATGACTGATATGACTGATTTTCACAGCTTCCTAAATCAGTTCTTCCCCTAAGTGTTTGCAAAGGTGTATAATTTTCTGCAAATTGGTGGCCTATTTTTTGATTAAGTTATGCCGATTTTAAGAAAAGTACGTTGCAATTACAAAATCAAACTTAGGAAAATTATATAATGTTCCAATTTGGCGGATTAGCCAGGCGAACTAAACTGAAGGTTTCTAAAACACGGTTTGGTTAGGAAAACCTGTCACACATGGTGCTGCATCTACAGGAGCTAAAAGAAACCAAACTGCCTGAAATGGGAAATAAATCTAATTAGAACACAAATTTAAAGTAGCACTGCATCTTCGACCAAACTTAGACTATGCACTAACAGGCTAATGTGACTAATGTGAGAGTAAAAAATATGGGACAACACGAGAAACGTCCATACAAATGAAAGGACAAAGGTAAAGGCTGGACTTCGGTCTCCAGTAAAAGTGCAAATACCCAACTTTATACAAACGTAAATCAAGGTTTTTAAAGGCGTAACATGATGCTCTTTACTTTGATATAACATAACAGTTTAAACAGCAAACGTTTTTTATAAACCAACTTTGACAGTGATCATCTTCTATGACTCCCTACGACCGTTGTTGTCCCTCTCACCTAGCTTAATGCAGCCAGGTGGGCGGCGGCAGAAACGGCTGAACAACATAAAAACCTCTGATTTTCAAAGAAAAAATGTGTTTCTATGGTTGCTACATACATGCCGAATGGAAGCGTAGGTCTACCAGATTAAGGAAACAACATTTGCAGAAACGAATTATATTTTTAATTTATGTGGAAAAACAACGGGCCTTTAAATAACCACATTATGAATGGCAGTTTGTACTTTCCATGAAATAAAACCGTGTTTTGAGGCTATAAACTGGGAAAACTGGGGAGAACCTGTACTGGGACATGTAATATTAGTAATTCCAGTCTCCCTTTCATGGGTAGACTCTTCATTAACAGGCAAACCGATCTGGGGGCCACATACTGGGTGTTTTGGTGCCTCAAATAAGCGTCCAGAGGAATGAATGGGCCGCACGAACTCACCTATGGAGACCAGCTTGATGTTCTCTTTCTCCAGAAACTCCAGTGCCACCGACACGTTTTCCAGTTTCATCTGCCTGAAGTTGGGCCTCTGGTGGTACTTTCTCAGCATGCTCTTGTGGCTGAGGACCTCCAGCAGGGCGATGAGCCTCAGGCCGTCGCCCAAGTCCAGCTGCAGGTCCACGATCCGTTTGTTGACGCACTTCAGGTGCTCGTTGATCCAGCGGGTGAAGGTGTTCTGCTGGATCTTCTTCCACGGAGCGTCCTCAGCCAGGTCCTTCTCTGTGGCCGGCATCTTTAACGGCTCGTTTCTCAGTTATTTCGTCTCTTCGTGCTCGGACTAGAGCTAAACGTGACAGAGAGCGGATCTGTGAGCGCGTTTCCGTCCCTGCTCAAGTCGGTTTGAAGTTTTCTCTGAACCGCACTGAGACCAACTGGCTGCTGTTGCGTTCAGGTGCTGCTCTGAAAGCTCGGAGAGTCCAGCGTCTTCATTGGTTTTACCACCCTGGTCGATGTAAATGCTTTTTTTGTGACCATGGACGGATTGTGGCACAATGGGGCCCTGGGCCCTGGGCCCCCACCTCTCGTACACATGTAGGTGCAAGATTCACAGATTTGTAGTCCGTTTGTGTCATGTAGTTGTTTTGCATCACCCGTTTTGCTTGCTTTTTTTTGTTTATCTTTAAATGTTTTATATCTCCTTGATGTTGTTTTTATAGTTTGGCTAAAAAAGCTAAATTCAATACAAATGTAGAAAACACAATATACGTTTATATAGGCATATGTATATGTACTACAATACAGTCCAATGTGATACAGAATAAAAATCTAAAACATAATGAGGAGAGTTAGCTTTTATATTTACATTAATACTCAATCAAAAACATTTCCATTTAATTAGTAATAAAGTAAGTAAAAAAGTACACGTTTGTCCCAATTGTTCAGTCAATTTTTGCTTTAAAAAATGTTATTCATTATTGTCATTAATTTAAATATTTACACTATTTGTGTGATGTTGTACTTTTACTGTACTTTGATTTAAAAAGTGAGGATCAACATGGTCCTATAGACACACAGTCATAATCATTCATTTTCAAAAACAATAACAAACACTGAAATGACAAACCACAGTTATGCTTTTGACATTTAATCTTCTTATTTCAATATAATATTCCTAATGATGAAGGCAAATGATTTTAGGCTTGAGAAAAATTAAAACACAAACTACAGTGTAGATGAATTCATTTTTTAGTTTTGGATCAAGTTTGAATTCAGCAATTGTGGCTCTGTGTTTTGTTTATAAACTTATAAACAAGAGCTGAGGCTCATGGGTACTGTAGTTTTCTCACATGATGGACAAAACATGATTTCTGAGAACCATAATATATATTTGTTTGATTATTTCAGGTTTATGCTTCAGGAAAAAACATTTTTAGTTATTAGATCAAAGTTTAGTCTTTTTAAGTAATTTTAGCCAAATTTAAATTTTACTATTTAGCATTTTTTATGATTTTTTAAATTGTTGTACATGTGACTTTCATTGTTTGTTTGTTTTTGTTGTTTTTAATGTTCACATTAATTCTGCTTTATTGTCATCATATGTAAAACACTGAGTTCACCTGTAGAAAAGGTGCAATACAAATAAAGTTTTGATTGATTGACTGATTGATTGTTACATTATCCTGAGGTGTGTTTTGTGTCTACATTATGTTAGGAGCAATTTTTTTTTTCATTTTTCAGGGAAAAATCTAAAGTTGTGTGAAGTTTTCTATTTTGGTTTTATACAATTAGAGTGATACATCTCACATTAGACAGCACCTCTGTCAGTGTTATTGATCTGTTATTTCCAATCAGTTTGGTTGGGTGTTTTTTTTAACCTTTAGACTCACACAGATCAATAAACTTTGATCTCGTCACATTTGAGAAGTGAACAAATTGAGTTGCTATGATGCAGTTTGTGTTTGTTTGCAGTCACTATTTAATCTGCTGAACAAGCGAACCTTCAGTAATGAGTCCTGACACACTTCCATCATTCTACTTCTGTCAGTCTGGGGGAAACACAATACAACACACTGCATGAGGAAAATAAAAATTGTAAATACGTCTTCAGGTTCATGTTGAACCTTTTTCACAGTTTCATTGGCCCCCAGAAATATGGCTGCCAGTTCTTTTTTATTTCATTGTTATTGTTAATGGAGATTTGCCTTGACAATGTAGAGAGACGGGAAGTGTGAGGGCAACTTTTATTTGAGTAAAGGAATAAACTGGAGAACAAATTCAGAACAAATCTACATGAGTGTACACCATCCATCCATCCATTATCTATACCACTTATTCCTGAATAGGGTCACAGGGGGGCGGGGCCAATCCCAGCTGACACTGGGCGAGAGGCAGGGGCCACCCTGGGCAGGTCGCCAGTCTGTCACAGGGCTGACATGTAGACAAATCACCACACACACTCACACGGGCAATTTAGAGTCACCAGTCAACCTAAGATGCATGTCTTTGGACTGTGGGAGGAAGCTGGAGAGAACCCACAGGAAGAACATGCAAACTCCGCCCAGAAAGGCCCCGAGTCAGCCGGGGCTCGAACCCCGAACCTTATTGCTGTGAGGCGACAGTGCTAAACACTGCACCATTTTCCACTGAGAACAGGAATTTCATTGAAGTTTTATTGTTATATGCAAATACACTCTTATTTTTATTCAATATAAAACCTCGTGATGCTGCCACTTGTTTTCCTTGATTATCTTTTTTATTGGCAATAGATCTAAGTTCATGTTTGCAGTGGACGTCCCATCTCTGGCCTTTAAGAAGCTTGTGATTATCAGTCAACATCAGAAAACAATGCTCACTTCTACCCTCTGTATTCAGCTCCTGTCTTCCTGTTCTTTTTCCTAGTCACCAATCGACACTGAAAACGCCATGAACACACCAGAGCTCAGGTGACAGAGACAGATCAGTGCAGGACTTGTTGAATTCCTTTGCTATGTTGTAACAGCAGGATTATTGATGCATGTTCGACATTACTCAGATAATATCATGCACACACAGGTTCAGGCATGTCTGTTTAATGGTGTAGTCTTTTGTGTCTGTATTAAATAACACACACCTCCTCTCTGTGGTTTAATCAGTGGTAGAAAGTAACCACATACATTTTTGCATGTAGCCAGTTTTGAATAATAAACCAGTTAAGAGTATTCTTTTATTTAAAAAATAAAAGCTAGCTGTTTAATACAAGGTAAACAAAATTCGTTTGGAATTAGCAGACTGACAATTAGCAGGATCATCTTGGCATGTTCATGTTAAACCATGGTTGAAGGCCTGATGTGAAACCATTTAGTTTTTGATATTTAGCAGAGACTGTACAACATCTGCAGGCATTTTGTCTGATGCACATGAGAAACCAACTGAACTCAAATATGTTAAATATGTCCATGTTCTGCTACTTCATACTTGGACCTCACTACATGCCAAGAGACAAACCTTGTGCTATTTACTGTGCTCCTCCTTTTCAAATTCAGATTAATCAAAAAGAAAAAACAAATAGAATGATCAGACTTTATTGATCCCCAGTGGGAAATCGTGTATGTAAAGTACTTTGTAAGTATTATAAACATCAGGGTGAAGTTGGTGAATGAAGATGCTGGAAGCAGGTCTGGTGGGTCAGCTTGCTACAACTTTAATCCAAACATCGCTCTGCATATTCAGTACATCATCATATCCTCTACATAGCTCCCTCATATGCCTAAACAATTTTAACAAAATAAGTCTAGTAGCTCATTCAATAACATTTTATTTTACAATTCTCTCTCTGTACTGTAGTGTTTTGCTTTAAACATCAGGAATATTTGTTCGTTGTCTTTATTTTTTTAAAACACGAAGACAAGACAGAGTACACGAATGTTGATAAACGCTGCTCAAGAGTCTAGAGTGTGAACCAACACACACACACACAGATAAAATAGGCTAATTTAACATCTGCATCTCCACAAAGGCCTGAAATGTTGCAGTGTGTTTGGAGAGGATAAAAACTGGTGATGTTTGTCACAGGCGAACGTGATGTTGTTGGTCTACACCTAGAACATTTGTGTTGAATGAAACTTTGACTGACCTACTGTATGGTAGACTACCTAGGCTCTATTAACTTTTTAACAATTCCAGTTAAGCACAAAGTCTAATGATCCAGAGCTTCCACAAGTTTCCAGGTCGTAATTAAACCTCAGACACTTTCACAACTTGGAAAAATGGTCCTTGCAATAGCTCAAATTAAGACATGAATACTATTAGCCTCTGTATGGTAGCAAATAAAAGACATCTCTGACTCAGCTCGTCAATACAAGCTGGACTTTGAGGGTCAGCAGTAATTCATGCCGACATCTAGGCAAACTTAAATGGGTTTTTGGCCACTGTTTGCGTTAAGGAGCTGTTTTTGGGCCCCTGCTTTGTTTGAATGTCATGCAGAAGCATGTGGTGCAGCACATTCCTGTCAAAGGTTTCACTATTCCACTAATGGACATGTGACAGAAGGGCCTGCAAAGGTGAGGAGTGTGCAAGCAAGCAGACAAAAATGTAAACAAAGCAGAATTTACTATTTGATTGAAAAAGGGCCCGCAAATGTTTTATGAGGAAAGGAATGCACCAACATCGTGGATGCGTTATGAAGTGGATACCGGCCTCTAAGATGGCTCAAAATGTCCACCTATTCGCATAAGCCAAATAACTTTTTTAGCCTTTAGGAATGGTTCTGTGTTGTGCGACTCACAGACGTCACCACTGGCACAACGCAAAGTTGCTTTTACAAATCTAAAACTTTCAGCGCCTAATGCAAGAATTATTGACCTTGTCTTCAGCTGGAGGCGTCCTGACAATTGTTTTACATATGTCTCTTCATTTTGGAGGTCTATGAGTAAACACTTTTCAGTGTGCAGGGAAGTTTTACCGTGACATCACAAGTGACCATTATTGCCGTATTTTGGTCTGCAACACTAAATGCAACATGGCTAACTAAACAGCCATAACATTAGCATAAGAGCCAACAATAGCATATTGGCACGAGGTCATTTTGAATTCAGTTGCTAGTTTTTGAGCTATGGTATGTCATGGAATGTTGGATGAGAGGCTATTTGGACCTGATGGTGGCGCTAGATTAACAAACATTTGAGCCAAACTTTGATCCATCCAGTACTTCAGTCAGGACCAGAATGTTGAACCAACAGTCGCCAAAGAGCTGCTAACGTGGCTAAAAACATCATCATCCGGCTGATGCAAATTACTGGGATGAAACCACAGCAATAATCTAAACTCAAGGTCCACTTACTGTGCTAGCTATTTTCTGAGCTTTTAACCCCCCATTATCACCTGAGGCCAAATGCGTTAACTAATCGCTGATGAAAGACATGAGCATAAGTTGAAAGCTCTGGAAAAAATAGCGAAGACATTGTGGATTATCAATGTACAACTTCTCTCCACACTCAAACCTTTGACAGTCAGTTAAACCAAGTGTGTGTATGTGTGTGTTTGTCAGAGAAAGTTTGTGTATGTGTGTGTTTGTCCACACACATACACAAACTGTGGCGTTTGTTACAAAGTTCAGAGGCACTTCAACCCCGTTTCCTGTGACCCTTGCCCAAAAAGGGAAGAAAAAAAAAAATCTCATTTTGATAATTTGGCTTCAAGTTTCAACTTCGACCCCAAACTCTCCCAAAAATAAAAAAACAAAACATAGAAACGCCTGTTAGACATCCAACATGGCTCAATAAAACCAGAAGCGAGCAGGGCAGAACTTCCTGAAACCGCCTTTACGTGAGCGCTTTCCAACAGGCTCGGGTTCAGTTAACTACAGTACAGGTTACTGTGAAGGTCATTTTCATGAAGAACTGATACTGTTTATTACACTCAGACCAGCTCTAGTCTGATGTGATACAGATTTACTCTACAGCTGCACTGTGTTTATCCTGAACATGTCTGGATTAATGAGCAGAGGGCGTTAATGACATGGACCCTTCAACAGTCCCCGAACCAAGCTACCAAGTCTGAGTAATGATGCTTTCATTTCCCAGCTGGTGATTCAGCATCAAACCTGAGCAGAAGCTGTCAGAACATCTGGATCAGATTCAACACGTTTAAAATAGTAACACTGTAATAATAATAATAATAATAAATCACAATAACTGTAAAAAAAAAAAAAAAAGAAAAAAGAAAAAAAAGGACATTTGCCACATTTTGGTTAACAGATTTGGAGCGTACTACCAAACATCAGCAGCTAAAGTAATGACATGAAGAAAGCGTCAGACATGTTTAGTTAGCCGGCGTGGAGCTGGTTTGATAATGAGCGTGTTGCAGGTCTTCCTCAGTGAAGACACTGAATATCAGAAACTCTCAGTCTTGGCTGTCTGTTCAGTTACAACCAGTCCTGATGGAGCTGCAGGTAAACACCACCCACTAGGAGACTGCAGCAACCAGTTCAATATACTGAAGAATGTGCTGATGCTCCTTCTGTCAGTTTTCAGTGATAACTATGGACTATGTTCCCCTGACTGCACCGAGGTTGTTGGAAAGTGCTGCGTTCGCCCCATCCTGTCTGTTTATGATGGGACAGGTGTGAGCGTTACGTTGGGCAGGTGTTGTATGTGGAAGTTCGGCCTGCTGGAAAAGATGTTGTTAACCAGAAATCAGCAGAGAGACAAAAACCAAAAAGCCCCCACCACAGCTGAGAGAGAGCCGAGAATAAAAATAACAAAACTCCCCGTCGCAGAAAAAAATAAACTAAAACGCATCTGAATCCTCTGTAGAAACCACAACCTTATATTCCCTCTACAATTATGTACAATTAGACTTTATACAAGTAAAGCAGTGATGCTCTCCACGCAGCGCTCCGTGAGTGTGTGTTTGTGTCCTAGGTGGAGCTGCTCTTGGAGAGGTTGGGGTAGAGGACGGCTGCTGTCACGGCGACCATCGCTGCGATGACCGGCATCCAGGGGCCCCAGCCGCTCTGCCAGAGAGAAACGATGGCACAAGCACACAAAGACAGACAGAAAATCAAGTTAGTCTACAGCTTCATGTCTGGACACCGTGACTCAAAGTGAACCAAGACCAGGAAAGAGAAAAAAGAAAGGGGAGAAGAAGATGGAGAGGAACAGAGGGAACGACAACATAAAGACGATTATGGAAAAAAGTGAAGCCTGTAAAGCCCCCGAAGTCCAAAAGATGATATATTTAACAACCTGGACACAAAATATTAAAAGTGCAGTACAGCTTTGTTTATCTACAGACGTGCACATTAATCACCACTGTCATTTTAAAAGCATAAACATGAGAGGGTTAGTTCAACAGCTAGAGTGGGCCTGTAGTTCCAAGACAACTAAAAACCAACTAAAATGACAGTTGAAATTAAAATAAGGGGGAAACAAAAGAAATGTGTTAAAACACCCAAATTTTAATAAAACAAGCATAAAACACTACAAAGAAGCAAATGTAAAAAAAAATGTCACGCCACTCATCTGAGATTTGATTTTTAACATAATATTTTAGGTGTTACAAATACTGTGGCCAGATGTTCCTTTTTGATTTCTACTGGTCCAGTATTTCAGGTTTGCTGTCTTCATACAACAGGCCTATTTGGCTGCATTTCACTTGTCTCTCTACAACGTAATCTGTAAAAGTCCATACAGTGTTTCAGACTTGGGATACTGAATAAATTACATGTCAGTATAGTGTGACAACAGGGAGGATAACTGGGTGTTTTTGAAGGAAGTCTACTGGCTTTGTTGGGCTGGGTGTTTTTAAATGATGTGGGAAAATACATCACACAACTGAGATGAGCACTTCCTCTGCTGTCAATCAAACGGCAGCAGCGGCAGTTCTCTGATGTGACAGCAGTGATGTAAACTATCATTGTTTCCTTAGAAACGCCTGCATGTGTGAGCTCTGCCAGCAAACAAGCTCATGTCATGGCGGCCGCAGCAGCTGAGAGCGATGAAATAATACCAAGGAAAGGTAGTCATGTTGCCTCGGTCCAATGTAGAGCGGACAGCGCTGTGAAAAGTTTGTAAAAAACATATTTATTTGAACTTTGTTGCAGTTTATTTTTAGGTGGCTCTTAAACCAGTTCCAGATGTTTCTCCAGTCACTGCCCACCAGTGGTGCTTTTACTTAGAATGGTTTATTTTGTAACAAATAATACATAGCGGCACCTTGCAAGTGCTGCTTCTGTGTTCTTGTTGCGCAGCTGCTCCGAGTGTTATTTTTGACAATGTTTACAAATGTGAAAGGAGAACGACCTGGTTAGTGATATTGTTCTTCTACTGGTACTGCACGTGTGGCCCTTGTTACTGGGGAACAACATATAGTTTTGACAAAGAAAACTATTTTTGAATGGTGTTTGTCTTGAGTTCATGGAAACAGATTAAAAACAATTAAAATCAAGAATGGTCCATAATGCTAGGGCGGGGGGGGACACCGTCCTGTGGCTTTAATATGACAACTGCAGCATGGGACCAACTTGAGACAGTACTTCTGAATGTAATATAGTTTATAGCATCTAGTGGTGGGACAAGGCCAAGACAAGGTCTGGGACAGCCACCCAATCCAAGTCTCCTATAAAATGTCACCCAGTTAGTTCAATATCTGTTTGTGTAAGCATTCGGCCAAATGATCTGTATGAGATGTGCTCAATACCTAAATACACACACGGCAAATATAATCTGGTCCTTTCAGGAAGAGGTCTGTCTTCCATGAAGTCATCTGTGTAATGTGTGCTCAGGACAGAGCTCAGTTAAAGAGTGACTCTTTCATAAACATACATCTTCCAAAACACTAAAGTGATTACGGATAAAACCATCAAAAGGACCCGAGTCTTCCTTTTTACTGGCTGGGCCTGCTGTTTCTTCAAATACACAACAGATGGTCTCAGCTGAGTCAGCGTTTGTGTTTCTGGGCACAAAGAACTTTATGATGACATCCTGAGCTCTCCCCGTTTTGAGGGTGTAAGCGTGGTAGAGAAGGACATGGGTTTACAGTAAATGATCTTGTCTGACAACTGGTGCACCAAAGATAATGACTTAAACACAAAATAACATATCTTTTAGGACTTCAGGAGAGAGAGAATGAGGAAAGGAAGAACAAAGGTAGAATTAAGGACAGCGGTGGAGGCAACAAAGTAAATGAGGCTGAGGAGGTTACCAGAGTCAAAAAACAAGTTACAGACCAGTTTCCTTTCACAGCAGATGACTAGGAACACTGGTCAGACATGCCCAAATAAACAGACAAGCAGCAAATACAAGTAGCAAACCACAGGGTGAACATTAGGACACAATCAGAAATGTTTCAGAAACCAAGGTGCAATGAGACCCAACAATAAAAGACAAACAAGAGTCAGCATGAACAACAAACAAACACCAAAACCTGTAAACAGCTAAATAAAGCAGAATAACTGAGATTAAGCAGCAGACTGGATACAAGGAAGAAAAGATTTTTTTTAATTGTATACATTAACCACAAACTGTTGGAAGTGATGGAGAACATGACAAACAATGAAACAAAACAAAGAATTAAATAAATAAAGCACTGACACCTTGAGAAAGGGGGAGCTGTGAACGGATGAGGCAGGAGAGTGTTAGTGCTCGTCTTTCACCAAGAGGCGCTCAGATGTGTGTAAAGGGATACTTCAGTCTTTACAAGGCATTTCAGAGGAAAAGTCAAACAAAGACTGTGTACTTCACACTTATTGTCACTACCTGATGTGTTTTGCTCAGAGGCCAACAGGATGTTGCTTCTGATTAATACAATTTAAATGGCATCATCTGAGAAAGCTTGTAAATTTCTTCAAATAGGAAGAAGACAAACAAATGTTACCATCTTCTGTCCTTTTCCAAATCAAACAACCTAATTTATGGCCACAGTTTTGTACAGTAATTGTGCAACAGATTTATTGTGCTTTTTAACTTATATTTTTTGTATTTATTCTGTTATGTTGTGCATATTGGGGGCAATTGAACTAGAGACAAATTCCTTGTATTTTTTAAGTACTTGGCAATAAAATTTATGCTTATGATCAGCTGCAATTGGAAAGCCTGACATCACTATGCGACTGCATCCTCCCATAAACAAAGATGGACCCGGTCGATCAAGCTCGTATTTTGGTCTCTCTAGTGATGTTTCGTCTGCAAATCACAACAATAGCTTCCCAATTAGTCATGAAATTAATAATGGCAAAGAGAAGACAAAACACATTCATCCAACAAGGTGCTACTACTGTGCGCCATGTTGACAATCGTCTCTTTATGCCACTGACTTCCTGTTTTTCCTCCAGTCACATGCGCACAACTGACCTTGGAGCTCGTCTTTGGGACAAGCGCTCTTGTAGAAAGCTGATTAGAAATCTGGTTGCACATATACATGGCAGAGAAACTGGTGTTCTCCTGGAGAAATCTACCCGGGGAAATCAGGTTTCCTTAATCCCCTACCCCGATTACAGAACCAGGTTTCCCGTTTACATGACGGTAAAGAAATCAACTTACTCAAGAAAGCCGATTGTAACCTTGCTGCACTGAGTGACACGTTTCTTCATTAACACAAACTAGTTTATTTTGACTCAGTCCCCTCCCCCCCACACACTATCCTTCTGCTGGAAATATTAACCACCATGTGGATTAAACTGCCACTGAAAATGGTCCTTAATTAATGCAATATTTACACCTGTCGTTTGTTAAATGAGGTTTTGTAAAAAGGCATGTTTATGTATCTTAAACAAAAGCTGTTGGGAAAAGGCATCTTTTTATCATTTGTACCAAAACTGTAGTATTCAAAAATGCAGCTCAGATTTTTCAAGCAAAATAATCTGCAGATATTGTGCAAAGGCACTTTAAATACCACTTTAATTTTTCAAATACAAAAGCTGCTGCAATTTCAGTTGATAAACATTATAAAATCTGCTGGGACAGATTTAACTTCTCAGCTCAGCTCCTCAGAAGGTCATAGACTACTACTTGATATCTGGCAGCAACAATCACACAGATGTTGCAATGCAAACAAAGCCAGGGAGCCAAAAACTGTCTCCTTGAAGATGAAAACTATAATGTCAGGTGGCAGTGGTGTGACTGAGGTATCCCTTTAAACAGCATCTCTGGTTGGTGGGAAAGAGCAGAGCTGAGAGTTTCAGCAGAGCAGGAGCAGAAGAAGTGTGACGGACGCACGTTAGAACCAAACCAGAGGACAAAGACAGACCAGCATGATGATGAAGACGCTACTCGGCCTTGAAGGGAAGTGTGGGAGGTGCCGAGTGTGTTCTGCTGATCAGAATTCAGGGTTCAACACTGACTAAATGTGTTTGTTTTGGTAACATTAGTGACCTGGTCAGGATTTTACCTTTGTATTGAATTAATATGATTTTAATTTGGGAGTAACTCAAGTGTCACATTAGCAGTAACCAGTAGGTTCTACTGGACTGGCAAACTTACTCGTTAGTCAGCTGATGCTAGCCTCAGACTAGAGGCTGTATTTTGTACAGTTTGTACAAACCGGGCATCTGTAGTTTGCATTGTTGCTAGGCAACAGGTCGTGATAGGATCTGATCTGAATCTCACCAGACTGTCTGGGGTGAAATGACACTAGGTGAAATAGCTTTAAACATTTTAAAGATTTTAAGAATTTACTTTTTTCAATTCTTTATTAAAATATTTCTTCATGCAAGTTTTAAATAAAGATCTCTAAGACTATTTAGCATTTATAAACAGTATACAAATACTAACATTTAACACTATAATGTAGTGGTCAACAGTGGTATTGATGCATTTGTTAGCCACTATAAATTGGTGCAAGTGGTCTAATACATACCAACACAGCAATGAGTGACAATATAGTGAAAAACAGCTGTAATAATAAAATGTGTGCCTATAGGAGTTTCAACTGTTGAAAACTACTGTATAGTGATAAGCATAAACATTTATACACTGTTGATATACTGTACCCCTTAGACACGCTAAGTAGGAGAACTTAAAGTAATGTGCTGCTATTTTTATGCCTCTGCACCAGAAATAACTGCGGCATAGTGTTTTTGAGTTGTTCCATTTTTGTGAATGCAATACGTTGGGAACGCCTTTAGGGAATTTCTTCAAATCTGGCACAGGTGTCCACTTGGACGCAAAGATGAACGGATTAGATTTTGGCGGTCAAAGGTCAAGGTCAGTGACCTCAATTCTGACCCATATTTGTGAATTTGGCTACGTAGGCAAAGCAATAATTCTAGTTTTTCTTTAATTTCAATAACTATTAATCCATTACTGTCCGAATGTGTATCATAAGTCAATACAGAAGCTTAGCTAATGCCATCTGCATGATTCAGTCATAAAAATGAATCAGTGCAGAAACCTGCTGACTATGTTTTAGGAGAGCACAAGTCATGGCTGTGGTTCATGTTTAATAAGAAATATTATTTGTTCCTGAGGAAAATCTGTGTTGGGGCAAACTGCTGCTGCAGGAAGCTTTCTGTTGTATTCTAATGATCCCCACTGGGACATGACCCTGAATTCATCACAGATCCAAACATCTCGGATCACCTCGGCCATCTTTCCTTCCACAGACAATGGACAGATGGAAGTCAGAGACGGACAGAGAGATGGACTGATGTCATGTCGGGGTGTACCTTTCTACCACAACTGGCCGAAACACCAGTAGAGCAGAGCCAGGACAAGGCCCATGAATATGGCTTGGACAGGCTGCAATATGGATGGCTAGAGGGGAGGGAGGGGGAAGGGGGAGGAGAGGGATAAGAAGAAATCAACCAGCAAATCAATGAAAAACCAACATGGAGGATGGTGCAGCTACAGCAAGGGGGAGGGGGGTGAAACACAGAGACAGGGGGATAGAAAGGAGGAAGGTGGGTTTATATGTAGTCAGCTGTTTGTATGCATTGAACAGCCACAGCTGCAAAACACCACAGAAGAAGAACAGCCATCCATCACCAGGACATCTTGCTAGCACTCTGAAACTGGTCTCCACTAGCTGCCTGTTGATAGTGCTAACAGTTCACCAGTTTTTAAAGATCAGTGTGGAATATTTTGAATCTGACCTTTAATAACCATTTTAAACAAAGCTTCACAGCAGATGTCACAGAATGCTGGACACAGGTTCACACGAGGAATACTAAAATACCGTGTCCTGTAAACTGGAGTGCCATAATAGACTTGAAGAACAATTCTGGTTCATTAAAACTTGGGTCTTATGTTCATAGTATTGTGCATTGTGGATAATGTAGGGGCCAGGTTTTAACAATGGAGAGGAATATGTGAATATCTGGTTTGGATTCTTGGTTTTTATGTTATAGGAATGCAATGCTAAATCAGAGGATTATACACATTTTGCTAGCACTGACATTTACCAGCTGTCCTGAAAAGCAGCAAATTTATTGCGTCACCTACTCACCCCTGACTTAGCACCCTGTGTGCACTAGAGGCGTCATGTGATGCCGACTATGGGACAAAGCTGATTATTGTGCTGCACCTCAGATAATCACAGGCTGTAAACAAACTAACATTTGATCCAGATTATCTAGACCATTGGCTAAGTGCACATGAATATCAGTAATTGTAGAGGAAAACTGAGCAAATAACTAGAGTGAGCACAGTAGTTATCTTCATTCCCCCAGAGATTAGCAGAGACGACATCCATCCCACTTTGGGTGGTGCGGCTCTCTTATCTAGAAATCTGGACGAGTTTGTTTTACAACCTAAATTATGACAACCCAGAGTTGAGTCCAGGATGCAGGGTCGCAGTCTTACACGCCTCTCTGCTGTCTCCTTGCAGCTGCTACCCACCCAACGCTCCCAGTACTGTCGCCAAGTGCTTGCTCAAGGGGGATTTGTTGGGTTTTCCCTATGTAATAATATTGATAACAGTAAGGTCTAGACCTTACTTTGTAAAGTGTCCTGAGATGACTTTTGTTGTGATGTGGCGCTATACAAATAAAATTTGATTTGATTTGATTCTCTTCTCCAAATAAGTTTGCCTGACCTGAAGCTTTGTTTCCAGCCTGTGAAATTGTTTCATCACTCGTATTTCTTGACCCATGTGACATATTTTTAAGGATGTCTGTGTTCCCAAATGCCAGCTCTTAGTCTGGTCAGTACAACGTTAATAATTCAAGATACTTTATTTGACCCTTGGCGAGTACTGATTATTAATGATGGACAAAACTATGAAAATAAGACCCAAATCATAATAAACATGATTTATACTTTATAAAGGTCGGTTAAACCACAGTTTGTTGGTCTCAGTCCTGTGAATCTGGAACTTTATTGTAAAAACGTCAAGGAAACAAAACAAAAACCTACGGTCACATCAACAACACACTGAAGAAGAGGAGAAAGAAATGAAGACAGGTCGACAAGAGACAAAGAGGAGGGGGGAGGGAGGATGTTCCGCCTTGCTGTTGTCATCTGATTCATGTTTCCTAGAGTTTCACAGTGCCACAGAAAAACTAACTGTTGTTATTTATTAGCTCAGGATAAAAAAAGTAGGAGATGACGATGTGACATTTAAAAGAAGAAAAAAAAACCTGATTTTCCTAATGCAACAATTTCTATGCTAATTTACATACATTTAGAGAGCACTAGATATTATTGTAACTTAGTCAATAATTCTTTTGATATTATTTACTCTTATTATTAGATTTTGTATATATATATTTACACCATCTGCTTTTAGCTCCACCACAGTGGTATCAGTCCTCGTGCCAGGACAGGCGGTCAGATTCAAGATTCAAACACTGGTTTGTGAGAGTTGTTTGTATTCAGAGTTAGCAAGAAGGCAGGGAGGAGGGAGGCTGTGAACTTAAAGTGCAGGATGGGTTTTGGCAAGCACTGCTAGTGTCCACAAGTATTAATCTTTATGCAAAAAAAAAAATTTAAAATGGTGGAGAAAAGAACAGTAAGAAAACAAAACCATCTGGACTTAAAGCTGAGCAAACACAAAAATGAACACAGTCTGTGTAGTCTTTGGTCTTATTAAAACCAAAGTGTGTGTGTGTGCGCGTGTGTGTATATGTGTGGGCGCATGCACGCTCACAGAGCCGGTCTTGTCCTGCAGCACCTTCAGGCTGCTTCTGCACTGCTCCAGCTCCTGGTGGATGTTCAGCTTCTCCTGCTCTGTCCTCTCATAGCGCTGACGGAGATCCACCAGCTGGGACTGTGTGTCTTCATACTGCACACACACACACACACACACACACACACATCTCATCATTTCTATTAACTGTCATGTCATGAATATTCATAAAGGAGGAACTTGACACTGCTGCATACTGTACCTCTCTCTGCAGTGTGTGTGTGCTGGCCTGGGCCTGATCCAGCTGGCTCTTCAGCCTGCTTGCATCCTGCAGGTGCTGGTTCTCCAGAGAACCCAGTTTGCCCTGCAGAACCTCCTCCCTCTTCTCCAGAGACTCCAGACTGGTGCTGAGGACCAGACTCTGCTCCCTGGTGCTGTACACAAACATGACAGGTCTATAAGCAATGAAATACATTCAGTAACACTAAAGTTCCTCATACCCTCCTAGAATTCACAATGCTCTGAACTGAGTAACTGACATTAAATTCTCCAATAGGGCTGGGTATCATAGCAAGATTTTCAATAGACAGCTTAACTTCAATACCAGTTCCTAAACGACACTTTTTATTCCATTACCAATTTCAGAAAATCTATTTTTACAAAAAATATACATACATTACACATTTTGATACAGACCATTAGTTTTATTTTTCAATTCCTTGACACTTTTGTGCACTCAAAGCAGGCTGATAACATAAAAAGTAAACTTATTTACCACAACTAGAAAAGCAGATAACATTAACATCAATAAATAAAAATGTAGAAAAGCATTTCTCGATAGTCGGTCGTGTTGAAGTAGTTCGATCAATGCCATAAAAGTCTTGAAGTTCGACACCCAGCACTATTGTCCAGTAAACACATTTGCATGAGCTCAAATTTTCTGCGAAAACTGGGCAAACTGGAAGAATGTTTTACTGAGAACATCATCTTTCACCAGAGCAACCTCGTTAGAGTAACCTTTTTGGAGCTAAAGCCAAATAAAAATTAAGCTCTGTTGCTTGAACCTCCCAGGCAAACTCCTTCCCCTGGGCTGCACACTGCTTGCTCTGATGACTGGCCATTACTACATTTTTTAAAACCAAAAAGTCAACAGAAAACTATTTTATTCATGGAACATATTTAGATGCATTCATTAGCATTAGGTTACATAACATTTCTTACATTAGCATGGCAGGAAGCGCTGAGGCGACCTCTCAGGCTGGATTCAGAGCACAGACTACAAAGATGCCCAATAAAATACCCTGAGATTCCTCAACTAATTTTGACTCACTGGAGCCTGATATATACTATAATGATCTGTTACTGGCATGTCCGTAACAACAAAGGTCTTCAGATTTCGAAGATCAGAGCATTTGTTTAATCTGAGCTCCATCTGTTCACACTCACCGACCTCATCCGTCTTAAACATTTACTGTGATCTGTGAGATTATTTGTTGAATGGCTGGTTTTTATTTATTGACAGCAACATCAATGATCAGATGGGACATTTAGCTGGAGCAGACAAAGCCTCCCCTGTGCAACTGACACACGCAGGGAAATTCCTTCTGACAAAGCTCGTAAATACAATTTATCTGCTTATGGAGGAACATGTATGATCCAATGGATTGTGGGGTTTCTGAGTTTCGGATGGAACAAAAATGCCATCAGCTCTCTTTTGCCCGTTGTTTTTCGCTGCTGGAGAGAAATATTTTCACTAAACTGGGACATTGTTGAATTTGGCTGCATCTACGATTGAGCATTTAAAGATGTTTAGGAAATAATTTCAGATGTACAGCATCTCAGCAGCGCCGGAGCATTAAGACACAGCTAGCAGGACATTTGACATCACCAGTACAGATATTCATGAGGAGTGTAGGCAAAGGTACCTACAGTTTTAGAAACTAGCGAAAATTCAGCTGAAGCTCAGATAAAATCCTGCTGAGTGCTCAGTTTCACTGAGAACATGTAGTGATGTTTTCTGTCCATGGAGAACACAGAACTGAAGAAGCCTCCAAACAGAAAGCTTCAATCTGTTAACCTGCTGATTGCTCAGTCTGCTTCAGTCAGTTATAAGTTATCTGTTGTCCCCTTGTCCTGCTCTGTCTGAATCAGCCGGACCTCATCGTTCCTCATCTCAACCTGTCCTTAAACGCTGAAACCAATCTCTGAATGTGTCAGGATCTGTGGACACGGCTCTGATCCTGTCATTTCTCCCAGCTGTCACAAAGACCTTCAGGTCAAGCTTTATTGTCCACCCTTGCAGAGTCTGACATGCATTACTGATACATTCTGAGATGACCCTTAACTGAATGTAAAGCTTAAGAGTAGGGCTGTACCCAACTACCAATTCTGTCAGCTGACTCAGAGCCACTATTCAACTGCTGGTTCTTTTTTGTTTCCTTAATACATATATTATACATAGACTGTCAGAAAAACAACTTGATGATTTCAGCCACATTAACATTGGCATTCCAATGTAAAAGAATGATGGGAACATATTTCTTAAAATTAAAAAAAAATAAAAAAAACAGCTGCACAGTGCTGTTGAGCTTAACATTCCCTTAGATCTCAGCAGCAATGACTTCATGAGCTTCTTTACAAATAAAACCACAACTATTAAAGAAAAAAATGAATCAAATCATTCCCACAACTCTCACAGATGTGTCATCAAGTACAATGGCTTTAGAAACATCTGTAAGGCCTCGTTTATATTTTGACTGCTTCGCTCCGAGTTGACCTCAACAACTGCTTCAACCAAATCAACATGTCTGTTAGACCCCACCCTGACCAGGCTGCTCAAAGATGTCTTGTCCTTAATCAACATCCATATTAGATCCGATTATCCTCTCTCTATTAACAGGATACATTCCACAGGCTTTTGAGGTTGCTGTAATTAAACCTCTACTCAAAAAGCCTTCTAGCCAATTACTGACTAATATCCAATCTCCCCTTTATTTCTAAAATCCTTGAAAAAGCTGTTGCAAAGCGATCATGTGAACAGCTGCACAGGAGTGATTTGTATGTGTGCCCGAGGTCTTTTACCAAGATATGTAGTTTTGTATAAACATTCCTGTGTTATTAATATGTCTAGTAATCTGTCCTGTATGAGGATTTTTCAGATAAATTGATTAAAAAAAAAAAAATCTGTCCCTGCTTGCAAATACCACTGAGCTGGGATATGAATTTTTGTTATGAATACTCATGCTCATATTGGGCAGCCTTGGAACGGCAAAACAAACAAGGCAACAAGACAACCCATCTCTGCTGTAACAGTTGCGTCTAACTGGCTGTTAAAAATAAATAAATAAATCTAAAAATGCCTTTTGTTCTATACTGCTGTTTTGGTCGTTTCGGTGCAACCAACTTGGGTGAAATAATGGCAAAATTGCCCACATACTTTAAAAAATAATACTACTTTAAAAAATCTGCCACATTGATGAATTTGATGGCTGAATTTTGTTCCTGGTGTTTTTTTGAAGGTATCACAGAAACATCAGTGGGAGTACCTGCTCAGCTCAGCCTCCAGGTGGTGCAGTTTGTCCATTAGAGCTTTCCGTTCAGCTCTCAGGCCATCACAGTCCTGCTGCAAACACACACACCGCTGCTGCAGTGTAACACACTCCACTGAGAGATAAAAGAGGAGGTTTAGTTATTATCAGAATGTCATTTTCTGCACAGTTGTGTCTTTAATGACAGACATTAACTCAGAAACACACCCTGCAGATGGCTGGCAGAGCTCTGCTGTTGCTGCTGCTGTGTGAATGCCTCCTGCAGCCGGCTAATCTCCTCTTCGTACTTGGCGGCTGTGTTCCTCCAGTGCTCCAGCTCAGACCGCATGGTGCCCAGGTCAGCCTGCAGGGCAGCGATCTCACGCTCCCGCTCCGCCGTGGCTGCCTCCATGGCATGCCGTAGGACGAGAATCTGAGAGCAGAAAAAATCCATGAGGAGGTGAATGATGTCATTAAGTTGGGTGAGGATGTTGGGAGGAATCGGAAAGGAGTAAAAGGGAGTCAGAGAGGAGTCAAAGGGAGACAAAAGGTTGTAGAAGGGAGTGAGAACCAGGAGGAGTCAGAGGAGTTGGATGACACAGGAGGATTCAGAAGGGAGTCAGGAGGAGTTAGGGGAGAGCTAAGGGGAGTCAGCAGGGATTCAAAAGGAGTCAGAAGGAGGAGTAAGAGTTGAATGGAGTAGGGCATAGTCGGGAGGAGTTGTGATGAGTCAAAAGTGAATAGCGAAAAACGAATGGACGGTACCTCCTCCTGGGCAGAGTACAGCTCTTCTCTGGTGCTGCAGATGGTGCTCTCCCTCTGCTCCCTCAGGGCCTCCATGTCAGCCTGCAGCTTCCCAAGCTGAGCTGAACACAATGGAAACACAAAGGGAAGTGAGACACATACAACTGCACAGTATGTGATTATCCACAATGTGTGTGTGTGTGTACTAACTCTGCAGGTACTGGATCTGTTTGGTCGACTCTTCAGTCACCTTAGAGTTACTCCTCCTCTCCTCCTCCAACAGAGCTACAGACAGACACAGACTTCATATTGTCACATTTTAATAACATTGATCTGTTGCATTATGTGATGAACATTGAGAGCAACTTCTATACAATGTCAAACTATAACATGAAATATGTGAAAGAAAGTCATGTGACAGTGTCAAAATGTTTGGAGCTGATCTCTCTCCTGGGTCTGTTATGAAAGTCAAACACATTTATGAAAAGTGAAATGGGAGGAAATTCAGGATTTTGTGGACAAGAGCTGGAGCTCGGATTTTGCCACAGCTCTCATTGTGTCTGTGTGGTAATTGTAATACTTTGATTGTTTTACTGTTGGTTACCTTGTAGCTCCAGACATTTCTGCTTGCCGGTGTTGGCTAATTCCTGGGCCTCCAGAAGCTCTCTGTGGAGATGGTGGATGACCTGCTCCGTGTCTCCAGGCTCTAAACCGGCCCGACGCAGCTCCGCTACACACACACACACCAGACTCATTTAACCTTTTTAGTCTTTTTTTTTTTTTTAAAAAACAACAACAAAAAAGTAGCAAATAACTGCCATGTCATACAATAAAAATTTTAAAAATGAAAAACAGACTCAAAGAACAAAGTACTTTGTAAAACCTGCATCTGCCAACATAAGTGAACGGCTTCCCCTACTGGACTGAATCTGTCACACACCTTGACCTTTAACCTCAGTTTGTGTTTATGGTTAGTCAGTGCAGAGATGAGCTGCCATCATTACCTTTCAGCAGAGCTACTCTGTTCTGTGGTTCATTCAGCTCCTGGTCGTCCATGTTGCCGTCTGAAACACACAGAGTTAAAAGTCATGCAAGTGATATTTGTTTCTAGTGAGTTTCTAATCAGGACTACATTTATGAAGAATGTACGCAGTGCGTTAAAAATACACAAGGTAAAACTACAATGATTAACATGATAAAAGGTTGGAGACAATAATGAATGTTTTTAACACTAAAATAAAAACAAACAATTAGACAACAGCATTTTAATTTCACCCAGTGTTGCCTAGTTTTTAGAGTCAGTCAGTACAGCTACCGTTTACTTTTCTGAATTATCAATCCAAACATCAGGGAATAAGTCTGAATACGTTATTTAGTTCTCAGCAGATTATTCGGAACCTGTTCCAGGATGAATTCATTAAGAGAAGCTGCTCTGCATGCAAAAGATGTAGAATGTGGACATTTAGTAGTAGCTCACTAAGAAAAACTCAACAATACACTCAATACAAATCAATCTAGGTAAAACACGACTCAAGCTGTGTGTTTTACTGACCTGAGGTGTCATCACTGCTGCGGTCTTTGCTGGGGCTTAGAGTGTCTGACATGTCTGACTCTTTGGCATCCATTTGATTCCCTGGGGGTGGGGGGGATAGACACAGTGGTGTTGGCCAGGACGGGGTGGAATTGGTGGGGAAAAATACTGACACATTTACAGCAACAACAAGCAATATATAGCAGCTAACAAAGAAAAATAATTACTACTTCACAACGAAAATCAAGCCAAAAGTCCCCAGCTGACTGAAAACCAACCATTTTAGGAAGCATATTGACATACGGGAGTTTTGTCATTACTCTTCTAAACACATCGCATACAGTACATAATGGCTCCAAATAGCAGCCTAATAATTAGTGTTTATCTTTAGAAGCTTGGACGTAGACAGTGTAAAGCTGGATTTATACTTTGAATTAAGGGGAAAGCTACACCATATGGTACACTTGTTTAGTGCGGCAGTGGTGATATCAACAGGAGGAATCTGACACTTAACTATAAATCACAACCTGCGTTGTAGGTTTCAAAGGCAGGACTCCTGTTAACTCCTTCTGTGTGTGTGTGTGTGTCTGCGAGTGAGCGTGCGTGTGTGCTCTACCTCTGAGACGATCAGGGCTGGCCAGGATGTCGTCTTCTGCTGTCTGGTTGTTCTGTAGGTGGGCATCCATCACTTCTATGATCACACATACAGAAATGTTAAGGCTAAATATTCAGTCCATACCAGTTAGTGAGGATGTGATATAATAATTCAAGTCAATCTTAAAGCTCTCTACAAAGTCAGCAACATCTTGACAGCACGTTTTTCTCCCTGATTTCTAGCATTAAATCATAGACTGCACTGTTAACATTTAAATGTGGTGACCTGCCTCTACATCGGCAAATAAATAAATAAATAAATAAATCCAACCAATTAATAATTTAACGAGGTGCCTCTGTGACTCACCCAGGAAGCCTGTAAAACAGCAAATTGAGTCACATGCACAGGTACAGTTGAGGCCAATTGAGATGGAGTGTGTTTTAGATGCATTTACAACAGATAGAACTCCATTCTATGTGATACCTCCCTGACACGCGTGAGCTGTGCATCACATATTTTTTGCTTCAGGTCTATTTTCTCTGCTGCGTTGAGCACAGCGTGATCTCCACACACTGCAGTTTAAATCACCCAAGTCCTCAGTTATTTTCTGTTGCAAACTTTTTTTTTTTTTTTACTGGTGTCTGTTATGATTACGTGGACAAGACCTACATGAATACTATTGTTGTCCAGCACATTTCTGCTGGACTTATTCTTGAGCTCTTACCATCAAAGTTGGCCAGTTTGTGGATTGAGGAACTTACAGTCTCCTTCAGCTGTTTCACTGCTGCAGAGGACACAAAAACCCCAAAACAAAAACAGAAGAATCACTGAACACATGCAGAAAAAATTTGTTATAAAACACACCATTACAATTTGAATCTGTCCAGATCAATAGGCCAACTTAACATCTTGTTAACACTGTATAATTCTCTTCTTTGCAGCTAACAAACAACTTATCTGCAGGCCACATGGCTATAGATGAATCAGGAGGATTTCATGGAAATGACTCACAGTGAACTGAGATTTGTAGATTTCAAAGTTTAGTCAGACCAGCTGACAACATTCACCTTTAAAATCTCTACCAAGAATAGAGGCAGATGGAAAACATTGTGTTTCCTGTAACCAAGCACAACAGCAGCACATAGCTCAACTAGTAGAGCCGCAAATTTCCACTGTTTGCTTAATTAATCTACAGATTTTTAATTGATCATTTAAGTCTGTGAAACATCTGCCAACTGCAAAAAAATGCCCAGGACAAATTTTCAAATCCCTGGCTGATGTCACTAATCGATTCAATGGCTAATCACTGCAGCTCAAGTTGTCAGTATTATTTAGTACCAACAAGCCTTGTATGTCACTAGAGGCTGATGACAAATGTCACTGCAGCCAAAAAAAAGCACAAAAGCTTTTGCTGATGTTTGGCTGGTAGCAGAAACTGAGGTTCAGTAGTCTAGATAAATGCTTCAGGTATGAAGATGTGGTTAGCATGTAAAATGCTTATTAGGAAAGCTGATGAGCCAGTTCTCGCCAGCTGAGGTGACCAGAAGAGGAGGAACCAAAGAAAGTGAAGAAAACAAAAACATTGCAAGAGACACAGGAGGAGAATAGTAAAGTCATCCAGTGAAAGTTACAAAAGGCATCATGCAAAGAAAAAAGTGAACCACCACACGCCACTAAAACTACCAAAGCACCCATAAAACCCATTACTACCACAGCTCCTATGATGTTAAAGAGCTCACATGGTGGAGACCAGCAAACGCACCTCTAGTAAGACAGTTCGACCAGCAGTAAGACACTTGTTAACTGGAATAACTGAGACACTGGAGGTACGTGAGAAAATAATTTTGTATTTTGATTAATAGGACATCTATCTTATGACATTTATTTGTATTATTGCACTACTGAAATAGAAGATGTCAGTTATAAACCATCTCTAGATTTTCTCTCTAATGTACAAAAACAAAGTACACCAAGAAAAAGTTGCCGCTTTTACACTGAACTGAAAGAAAGACGCAGGAAAAATCTTCAGATAGGAAGCAGTTTTCTTGCCTGATAAGAACTTAGTTCTGTTCAGATGTCGTCATTGTGAAAAAGCATTTTTCTATTTGGAAACAAAATTGTCAACCTCACAGTGGCGCTAGAGGAAAAGTCATTCGGACATCTGTCTGTACAAACTATCTCAGTCTATCCAGGATTTTACAAGACATGTGAAAACGTTGTCCTGCTTGTGGTGCTACAGGAAAAGTCAGGGTATCACCACAGTCAACAGGCTTCAACCTCTGGGCGCCACGAAAGTCTACACCAAAGTGCACAGCAATCCATTTTATAATTGTTGAGATGTCTCAGTCTAGACCAACTGACGACAAATAGCGCCACCACCAGAGCTACAATGCTACTGTGGCTAAAAGCAGATAAATCAAAATCATTAGATAGCACATCAATTATGACTTATAATTTTGTCATAAAAAGTCACAAGTACAACTTACCATCTCATAATTTTGATTTACACCGAGAATTTTTTACCATTTGCATTTTTTTCCCCAGG